CACCTAGACTAGGGATCTCAAAACTTTTTATCCCCTCGAACCCTTTATAGAATATTTGCCTTTTTATCGACCCCCAGATTAAGTATTTAACAAAAACATTACATTATTTTGGCATTTCTGATGTTAAGCGATAAAGAAACTTGCATAACAACCCAACAAAAGAATTTATAGTTCCCATATCTTATAAAATCCACCCTATAACATTAACAGAAAAAGGAGTTATTTCCTACTGATTTATAATATTAAAAAATAATAGCAAAATTATGGATAGATGGAAATTTGCCTATAGTTCTTCAACCGTACGTCTCATAATACACAAATATCTTTGAAAACATAAGTTATATTAGATGAAAAAACCTCTTACTGTCATTTTGCGACTATTACTCAATTCCTTAGAAATATGTTAGACATACCTTTTTATTATAATAGTTGATATTAGTGGGATGGATGTGTCTGAAGAGAAGCAGCAAAATTATTGATATTCGGTTGAAAATTGGTAAGTTTTAGTCGCAAATCACTACGGTTTTCCAAGTTCAATCTGTTCCTCCGTGTTGTCAAAATTGCGTTCGCGTGGCTAAAACCAGCTTCAACCATGTATAAAGTTGGGAACACAAGTAAGAAAGGTTCGGCTTCTGCTCTGAGTTTGGGATATTTAGTGGCAATATTGTTATTGCTCCAAAATTCGCTGAGGTTTTTATTTTTAAACAACGCTTTAGCTTCGAGATCTACAAATATTTCAATCAGTTTATCTTCTAAGCCAGGTTCATTACCTTCATTCTCTATTTTTACATTAAATGGATTAGTAAACTATTCGGAAACATGCATATTCTCCAATTCTTTAAAACGTGCTTAAAAGTATTCTCTTAATTTATCATGATGTTTAGTATATACCTCCATATCAGGGTCGGAAATCTTTTCATTTTCTCTTAGCACTCGCAAGTTTAAAAAATATTTGAAATCTGATCGTCCAGTACAGATTTAACTAGCTCCAATATTACTTGAAAGGCCATAATGATTGTTCGAGCTTGAAAAATTGTAACGTTTTTTTTGCAAACGCTTCTGTACTATATTAATGATTCTCGATATATTACGATATTGTATCTGTAAAAGACAAAATATCTACATTTACATATAAAATAATTAAAGTAACAATTCTAATAGAGTTTAACAGTACAACATATGGCTGTGTATAATGAACTACCAGCGTTCATAACATATTTGCTAGTACAGTTTCCAGATGCGTGAAAACAGAGTAACACATGCTTAAAGGCTAAGGCAAAACTCAATTTATAACTAGAGTAGTCAGTAATGATGATCATATCCGTATTTCGAATTTCTATTAGAATATTCTATCTTTTTCTAGACAGTTTAGTTAATCCTCATTGGTATTAATCGACCCCCTTTCGACCCTCGTGTATTAATCGACCCCTGCATAACTCTTATCGACCCCAAGGAGTCGCTATCGACCACTTTGGGAACCCCTAACCTAGACTATTCAAAAAACGTCATATGGCCTATTTAAATAAATTGGTGAATGATTTGTTTAATTTTATAATGGTTTTAATTTATATAAATTTTAATCTAGTCTCTTTTTATATCTGTCCAATAAGACGAATGTAAATTTGGGGTTTTTTAATGATGAAACTATCGTCTTATCTGCGGAAATACACAATGCATCACAAATAAAAAATACGAACTAATAGAATATTTTAAAAAATAATAACAATAAACACCAAACATTTATATCTCTGAGTTTCTCAGCGGCATACCTACTTTGGCACCTCTCTGTATGTAACAGCCAGAAAATAACAGTGTAGTTTCAAATATCGATTCTGATATTGAACGAAGCTGGAAATTTATTCATTTTTTTACAAATATTGATTCATTTAATATGATGTTTACAAAAACTTTTATTAAAAGAATTTTGATGTATTATAAACATTTTATAAATTGCTTTTATTGGGAATGTTTTTTGAGATTATAGGTAAAAAATTGTGGTATGACCTGAATTCCATTGTATACATTATTCGGATGTACAGTAGAGAACATACATATAACATGATTAACATACTTATTGTTGTGTGTAAAGAGATATGGCTTAGGAAAAATGGTGAAGTATAATACTCAACTAGGCCATTATTGCAATGCTTTGTCATTGGACCTATGTTTTGTCAAAAGTATTTTATCACACGAATAGATTTCTTGTGTGCATGTCAAGTTGCTTTTGCCGAATTACGAAAAGTCATTAATTTGGATGCAATGTGAAAAAAATGGAACGTATAAATTCCCAGTGTTTGTTGTTTGTCCGTCTGTCTGTTTTTTATTAATCTCGATCACAAAATAAGAAATACAATATGACTTATGAGAGTCTTCGAACCACAGCCTCAATCAACTATAAAAATATTTCCTTAAGAAAAATTTACCTGTTTTCAACATTATGCTTTTCAGAATTTTATAATAAGTAACAATATCAGGGTTTCTTTTTACTAAAATATTATAACAGATTTCATCACTACAATTTAGAAAATTTATATATTAAAATAAACATTTAATTAATATTATATTTTATAGAACAAATCATAAAAAATACACTTAGTAGAAGCTTGAAGAAAATAAAAATCACGGGAGTACCTGTAAGTTTTCTTTTTGTATACCTTATGAATTATTGTTACAAAATATATCTTAATTCCGTTGTTATAATATATTTAGTTCCCTCCTTATTTAAAAATGAAGAAGATTAATAACACAGTAGTATTTGATGGTATCGATTTTAAATTTCTAAGTTTAGTCATTCAAAATTTAAAAAACGTTCAGTAAGTAAATTCATTTTATTTATAGATAAAGATGTAGGATAACATTCAATTTTATATAATATTTTACACAGATATGAAATTATTCAACCTGTTGAAAAAGTATTTGGAGTTAAATTAGACAACGGCTCGTGGAATGGTTTAATTGGAAGAATACGAAGAAAGGTAAGAATAGTAATAACAGTTCAATTGAATTTGTAAAATTAATTATAACTATATACAATATTTTATATATTTATATAAGGAAGCTGATCTTGGTTCAAATTCGTTATACGCGACGTACGACAGATTTCAAGTAGTAAAATCAACAGCTTATATTAGAGGTAGTAAAGTTCTATTTGTTGTTTCTAGACCTAAACAACTGTCAAAAGTAACAACAATAATAAGGCCATTTTCATTTGAAGTGAGTAAATTTCTTTTATTTTATATATTTTTTACTAAAATTACGTTTGTTTAAAAAGAATCCGTGCATAAAATAAACGAAAATTCGTTTGTACGAAAATGTTTTAATTCGCGAATTATTTCTGTACATGTCATTTTGTAACCGCCTCTGCGTTGTAGTTCTGGCCGAATATACAAAGATATTTTAAAGAAGATTTTGTGTTGTCCACTAGTGACGAAAAGTAAAAGAAAATATGCAATATTATAGTTTTTTCCAATAATACGAATACAGTAGAGCGTCGATTATCCGAAAGTCAATTATCCGAAAAATTCCAGTCCGCAAATTTAAATTTGAGCCAGTGCTGTGGCACTGCAATCTTTGGCTATGTCTTGGGCTACTCAAATATTTACGTTTTTGATACTAAATTAACTTCTGAAGTATAATTTTTTATTGTTTTTATATTTTTCAATATATTTATTTTGTTTGTACAAAATAAAAAAATAATTTTTAACGATACAATAGTCTTCGTTAGGCTTAACATCGACGNTTTTATTGTTTTTATATTTTTCAATATATTTATTTTGTTTGTACAAAATAAAAAAATAATTTTTAACGATACAATAGTCTTCGTTAGGCTTAACATCGACGAAAAATTTAACGCGAAGAGACACGCAACGGAGAAAAGTTTCAACGTGGGATAAATTAATATATTTTTTCGTAAATAATCGTTTATCAGAAATACCGATTTTCCGAACAACCCCAGTCCCCAATAGATTCGGATAATCGACGCTCTACTGTATTTCAAAATCATTTGCAATATTAATGACCAATCTGCTTTTATTTAGAATTTGAGCTTTTATATACAGTATATCGTATTTACACATCCGATGGAGTATTCAAATGTTTTCATAATCATAATACCTATATTTATTTTATTTTTTGAAATTTTATTTTGAGAATAGTGTTAGACACATAAAACATGAGAACAGATATGAAAGCATAGAAGCGACTGTGGTCCAGTGTTGCCGCAATAAAATTTCAAAACGTACTGAAGCGCCTTCAAAAAATGTACTATTTTCCTTTAAAATGTACTTGTTCTATAAATACTTTGTTTATGTGTCTATATATACAGTGGTACCTCAGGTTACGAACGCCAGAGCATACGAAATTTTCAGGATACGACATGAAATTCGAACATATTTTTGCTCCACGATACGAACAAAATCTCACCATACGACGTTACATTAGTTCGCATTTTTCATTTGTTTTCCTAACTACAGTTATTTTTTTAAATGTATTACTTGGCTTTAATTTGAGTATGTTTTTCGCGTTGGAACGAATTATTTGGTTTTACATGTAATCGTATGGGAAAAGATGATCCACCTTACGACATTTTCATGATACGATCTCAGTTTCGGAACGGATTAATTTCGTATCCTGAGGTACCACTGTATAATTAATATATAATTATATGTACAGTACCTAATTTATATATAATTTATATAATACTGTCCAGACAATAGAAATCTCTCCGTAGTTGGCGCTACAGACGGCAGGAAAGTAGTTCGGCTGCCCGATGACGTTTGCGGTAATTATAGGGGGTTTTTTACGGATACCGGTCACAATTTTTTCGTAGTTTTATAGGAATCGTAATTATAGGGGGGTCGACTGTACATTAAATAAAATTGTAAGGAAAGATGAATTTACAGAAAAATATATATTTTTCTGTAAATTTGTCCCGACAATTTTATTTAATGTATTTATTAATTTTATTGTTATGCCACCACTAAAGGACTATTTTAACGTTTTTGCATTGTGTGGTTTATGAGTAGCCTACAATAAAAAGTCAACTCCGCCATGGAATTGCTATTACCTCAAACAGTGTGTGAAGGGACAGAATGGAACTGACTCATTTTGTATATATAGTCTTAAGAAATGTATAAAAAAAACAAGTTAACGTTCATAATAAAATAACTCCTTAATGACAAAGTGACAATTCACAACTGATCTTTTCTTTAAGTTACTGTGGAAATCTAGAATTTCACGCCCACTTGTAGTAAAGTTTTCACTGGAACTAACTGGTTTCCAACAATATTCTAAAGAAAGATCTGTTGAGAGTTGTTACTTCAACATACATGCAAACTTGTTTTTTATAGTTTACTGATTTTTATATTCATATTTGTTACAATTTATTCATGTTTTTGATATATTATTGATGTTTATAATTTACTTATGTTTAAAATAGTATCATAAATACTTAAAAAAAACTTACTTCATCTACTACTACAAGACCCAATTCTTCAGTTCTATTTGATTCAAGAAAGCAATTTATTAATGAATGAGCTTTTTCAATGGTTGCAATGAATAAAGTCTGCCGTTTACGTCTTTTTACGGGTGGAAATCTTCCCCTGCTTCCGGCATATTCTTCTATTAGAAAATCTAATTCAAGTGCAAAAGGAGAAAGCGATTTGATCTGAAATAATATTTGAATAAATTTCAATAATTATAGATCTATTTTAAGGATATAATATTTAAAAAAACACTCACTTTTTCTTGAACAATTGAAATGTAAGGTAGAATGAACAATGCACTTTGTTTATTGCATAATAGTCTTTTAAATATCAAGATTTCAGCAACAAGTGTTTTACCTCCACTGGTTGGCAACATATAAATGAGATTCTTCTCTTCTTTAATTGCTGGTAAAGTAAGACATTCATGTTGCCAATCTAGAAACAAAAGAATAACTTTTAAAATATACAATCAATAATGTATACAATAATACAATGTAAAATATAAATTCAAAACAATAATTTATCAAATGAATAAAAAGTTAATTTGATAAAAATTGGCAGGACAGAAACATTTTTAAATTTACAAAATTTAAGACAGGGATGCACAACCTTTTGTGAAGAAGGGCCAAATTAGGATTAAGTTTACTGACTGGGGGCCAGACCTCCAAGCGATTAATGTGATGGCTGAGATTGGATGCTGGCGGCAATCTTCTTGATGTCTGGTGTAATGGCAGATGTTGAAACAACCAGCAGATTTTCCAAATTCTCATTGGTTAACCTGTTCCGTGTTTTGCACTTGTTTAAATTCATAAGCGAAAACGCTTNGATTAAACTAATTTTTCTCATTTTTTCGTTAAGGCGTGAAATATTATTTTGTACCGTAAATGGTACTTGAAATATTATAATGTACTGAAAATGTACTAAAAATCTAAATGTACTTTCAATTTACTGGAAAGGGCAAAATGTACCAGAAAAGTACAAATGTACTAGGAACGGCAACACTGCTGTGGTCCCGATTAACTATATACAAATTACAGGTACAAACCGTAGTTACGTTATTTCAATTCAAACATTTTCATTTGAAGGGATATAGACAGATAACTGGCATGAATCTATTGTAACAAGAAAAGGATGATAAATAGAGGCAATACACTACAGTACAATTTTGAGGTAGTAATCATACATTTTAGATTAAATAAATAAAAATATGATAAAAATTTTAAGCTTAGCACTGCGAAGTAATTATAATAAATAATTGCTCTTTTTCTTTATTTATTATATCTTTTATGATGTCTTTTTTTTATTATTTTCCTGTCTCATGTGATAATTATATAGAAAAGTACTGGAATCGTGTCGACTTTGACCTTTTGAGTTTTCTACAAATCTGTATGATTTGAGGCGGCCTGTATTTAAAAAGGCAAAAATCGGCAAAAATGTTTCGTGGATATGTATGTGTGAGTTGATGTATATTTCGCTTATTACCTCATGAAAATATAGAGATTAAAAAACGAGATTTGGAATGGGCTTGTACATGAAAAAAATTGATACTACTAAATTTTGGTAGTTATAGATTAAAAGAGGATAGGGATAAATCTGTTTAAAGCGTTATATATCAAGAGTGGTAAAAGCTAATTAAGATTTTATTTCTTATAAAATTAATACTTATTTATAAAACTCATGCCCACCCACAAAATTANAGAAAGAAATGACGTTATAAAAATAAAATATAAGACCTATAAGAATATATAGTAATAAATCACATAATAATTAGCCCTATTTAAAAGTAAGTAATAGATATAAAAATATGAAAAACTACTTTCATGTTGTATGCTATTTCATATGGTTAATTATCTATTTACAATATATTAATGAATTCACAAAAGTAATAAGTTTTAAATGTATTCAAATTTAAGTTTTTATTATAAAATTTTTATATAATGTGTTAATGTTTACGGTTATTTTTCTGAACAGTTACTTATGATATATTAGTTGTGTAGTGATCTAAATGGACTATCAGAACGTATAACTCGTGTAAATTGCTAACCACCTGCTTACTCTCATAGATAACATAATACCATTCCATTCTCTTTCTCGCATCATCCTATATTTTCTATATCTTCGAATAAATTATTAAGGTTACGTTATCTTTCGCGAAGTCTTTCCTTCCTAAGAGATGAAGTAATATTAATTTTTGAACATCTTAAGTCTTTCTAAGTATATATATCATTCATATCTATCATCATTCTTTCCACCTCCGTATCTATATTTTATTCAATTATCAAAATATTCATCATCTTTAATGGAGAAAATAAATTGGGGGGGGAAGATTTTTGTCAATAGTTCTATTACAGTATTAGAAATTTAAAATCTATAATGTAAAATGTTTTAAATTACATTACTTTTTCAGATGAAATAGCGATTGACTGCTGTGTGAAATAAAAAATTATTTCCGCTATATCTTAAAAAACATAATAGCACGAATAACAGTTCTGTTATATTTTTAATAACGGATTACTGAAATTTACCTCTTGTAGTAATTGTACGAAAAGTTAAACAAAGTGTACAAGATTACCAAATATGTTCAAATTTGAATCATGTAAATATTAGATAGGAATGATACGATAGGAGTAGATAGGAAAATGAAAACAAAATTTCCTATACACTTATAGTGGTGCTAAAAAATAATAACAGGAATTGAGAAGTAAACTGTTATATAAATTTGTAGTCACAGGTTATCTTCTGCACACTTCCCAAGTATGTGCAAAAACTAAAAATCTGATTGTGAAGTTTTCAAGCAACATGGCCCTAATATCGATGCTTATCTTCTTCATATAGATATAAAATATTATTCCTGTGACTTCGGAATTGGAGAAGAACTGCACACTGGACAGGGATGCTATATATTAGTAGTATATCTATGACAGCCTCTGGTATAATTTTGTAAAAGTTTAACAGTTTATAACATTTATTCCAAAGTCTGTCATCACAGAAAGAAAAACGTCGAGCAGGGGTAAAAATACGACAGATTCTGGCATAATTCCAAAATCGGACAACGAATTCTGAATAATTTGTATTCCAGAAACTCTCATATACATCGAAATCACACTTTTTTAATGCCCATTCGATTATACTTTTCCGAACAATTGTCAGCAAGAGAGTCTGGAATAAAAACTTAGTAACCTTGGTTATTTAGGGGAGACCGGGGCAACTTCGGCATGCGGGGCAAGTTTGTCAAGCGCTTTTTTTAAAAAACAAATTAAAAGGAGACTTTGGTTATAGGTTAGGCAGTTGAGTTTTATTGGTGGCTTGTTGAGTGTAGTGTTTTTATTGTTCTCCAACAAGCGTAGTTGAATTATCAAGCAAATTTTCATTTTCGTT